GGCAGTGCAGACAAACTTGAAGCCCCCAGCGGCCGAGAGCGGGAGGGCGAGGAGGGAGAGCTCGAGCCCGCAGGCAAAAGTACGTCACTCGCTTCTAAAGTTCAGAAGCTCGAACTACCTTTTTGGCTCTGCATGCTAGGTTGTCCATTTGCACCACACAGCAGCCAGGAATGTTCATCTGGCAATCCTGTCCTCGAAGATTCGTAAAAACAGGGCAGTGCAGACAAACTTGAAGCCCCATCCTCACCCACCATATACCAGTGCAAATGGCAGGCTCACGACCAAAGGTGGTACCACGTTTGCGTGGGGATCTTATCCCGAGTCCACGCAAGCGACTGCGAAAGCACAGCGGGGAAGCAGCTCGCAGCTTGCAACACGCGCTGCCGTACAGCCGGTGGGAGTGCTGGATAAAAAGTTGCGGCTGCAACTTCTTGAAGATAAATCTCCATGACACGATGGCTCACCCATCGTCCTCGACGCCTGACCAATTCAGAGTCTTCAGTTGTTTGGAGCATGTGAGTTGCTCCGCCTGGTCTGAAAGACCCTAAATCGAGAGGGCGCTCTGCCTCTCGAGGAACGATGCCGAGCCTTGCCAACGCTGCGTCCAGACGCCTCCGCAAAGTCTGGGTGGAACCCGGCCAAAGTTTAGCCCAAGCAGGCAAGTCCCTGAAGGCACTGTCAACTAACAGAACGAGGTCTTGCGGCTCAAGCTTTGCAGCTTGATGCCTGGCTGTCCTCAGGCGGGTTTTCGGTTCGCTGATCCGGAGTAATATAAACTTCTGTGTCCAAAGAACGTCGCGAGGAAGTACAAGAGAGCTCCTTGTCGCAGAGGTGGCCTCTCCTATGCGCAAGAGCGCTCCCCAGCTTAAACCAAAAATCCCGGCCTCGGAGCGCCATCCCCAAACCAGACATACCGTCAGCAGCGCGAGCAGCACTACTGATGGCATTGCCGTGTGATGCGTGTGCGGCTCGAGGGTCATCCAGGAAAAGGCGAGGTCCCAGGCGCCCTGCATCTGGCGCCTGATCGCAGGGCGCCTCCCGGACACAGAGTTTATAGTCTCAGCGTAGTGCCAATAAGGAAAGCCAGCGTCGAAAAGCTCCCTTCCATAAACGGAAAGGAGATTTGCGACCTGCTCTGCCGAAGCCGTCCAGAAAGACTCAACCGAAACGCCTCGTCCACGCAACCATGCCTCGAGGTTCTTGACGAGGTGCTCCCTGTTTGCAGTCGTGCGTTGTAGGATCGGCCTGCCCTCGGGCAGAGTGCTGCGAGCGCGCTCTCGCTGCCTACCCTCATCCTTTGCATGCCTTGGCTGTAAAGGGCCTTCTCCAGGATAGCCCAAGGTAGCGTCAAAGCACTTGCTGATCCAAGGCAGAGCGGGAGCAGGCTCGGTGTTCTCGTGTTGGGGCAGCTCTCTCCGGAAAGACTGGGAAAGGGCAAGCACCAGCCTAGAACCAGAAACCCTACTACGCCTAAGGGCCAGAAGAAGGGAGAGCCGAACCCAGCCAGCGGAGGCGGAGGAGAGGGACGCGAAACCCAGAAGCTCACTGCAGCAGAGCGAGGGTGACCTAAGGAGAGAGGCAGAGCTGGCAGCTCGAAGAGGCTTGGACCTGGTAGGGTCGTCCGCGATGTTGAGCCTGGTCGGTGCGTGGTGAAGGCCATGATACACACCGCCGGCGACGGCACAAGCAGCAATCTTCAGCAAGACAGGTCGGAGCTGGTGTGAGGAGGAGCGGCCCTTGGCAACCGTCCCCCGGGCGACAGAGGAATCGGCGAGGATCGTGACCTTGGTGTCGCCTTCCCGGTGGGCGCAGTCACGGACAACAGCAGCGACAGCGCGAGCCTCGAGTACGTTTATGTGCTTCCGGGAAGACCAGCGCCAGGCAGAAAGCACAGACCAGCCCTCGCTAAGGAGAAGGTCGTTGACAGCGAGGTTCTCGAGACCTGTTAGGGGACCTGGCTCATCCCGACGCGGGGCGCGGAGGGCCTTGGCAAAAGCACCGGCGATCCTGCGAACAGCACTCGGGCAGGAGGCCCACAAGCAACCACCAGAGAGCGGGACAACATGGCGGGAGGCCTTGCGGGCATCACGGTCTAGGGCAGACAAGTCGAGACCATAGCTCAGAGAGGCTAGGCCGGAGTGTCCCGACACACCAAGGGCAGCACCAGACAGCTTAAGTCCACGAACACCTGGGACCCGAGAAAGGCGACCCCAAAGCCTGGAGCGCCAAGCGGAACCGGAACGAGGGACAGTCAGAAGGACAGGCAGGCCCCAACGAACAGCAAGGCTGAAAACCAGAAGGCAAGTTGCAAGAGCCCTGAGGTCGTGCGAGGAAGCGGGGGTCTGCGAGCGAGCACGCGCAAAGTGAAGGCCGCCTGAAGGGGGGGAGAGCCAAAGGGCTTAGACTCCGAAACCAGATGCACCAGCCAGTCACGCAGAGGCGAGGCTCCCAGGTCGTACTACTGTCTGGAGCGGCGACGGTCAACCAGAGGACCGACACAGAATTTCCCAGCAGCGAGCTGGCGTGCAACAATCAAGGAAGTCGTAGTCGAAAGCGCAAGGCTTGGCAGGTGAGGGCGGGGAGGCGCCCGGGTCGGGAGGATCAAGCTGTTCAAAGACATCAGCTGCCGGAGAGGCACGGTGTCAGCAGAAGCAGCAGGGTCATCGCCGGCACCTTTTCCACGAGGAAGGGGGGCAAGGTGCACCGCAGCACCACGGAAATCAGATGCCAACCAGAAGTCCAGAGAAACCTCAGGGCTGACACTCCTTGCACACACGGCCCCGTGAGTATTGGAGGCGTCGGTGGCGAAGATTCGCTCACACGGGTCGGCGCTAAGGTTGCTGCAGATGACAGGGGCGAGCACGGCAAGCAACTGAAGCTCGCCAGCGGCACGTCGGGGCAGAGGTCTCAGGGCCTCTCGGGCGATGTTTTCAGCAGGCTCGCCCCGACTAACAGCAAAGAAGCGGTCTAGCACAGACATGAGGCACCTGCGGTAGAGGAGGCAAGCGACCCAGGAGCCACACAACATATCAGCAAGCTCGGCAGTGATATGAGAACACTGGGCCGCACGAAGGGAAGCAGCAGAGAGGGCCAGTCGCTTGGCAACAGGGTAACCGACCAAAGCCAGGCCATCAGAAGTAGTGGTGGGATCGGTGTCGATCTCTGCACCAGCAACCTTCAAAACACGCTGTGCTAAAACGTCTTTCTCATCTGAACCCAGCACAGCTTCACGCGTGTAGGCAGCCTTGGCACGGTGGAGAAGTCCAAGAGAGGCAGAGGGGCCGCCGGGCACAAAATCCGAAGCCTCAACCGAGAGGCTAAAGAAATCATCAATGATGAGCCCACTCCCTGGGCCCTGGGCCGAAACGCGGTGCTTAGATTGCAACCTGCCGGGGCCAAGCAAGCAACCAGCAGACTGAAGCATACCCAAGTGAGCGGCCGTTGCGAACTCCACTCCTCCAGCATCACCTTGCAGCAGGGCCTTAAAGGTGGGGTGAACAGGAAGGCTGTCTGAGACAAGCACGGAAGGACGCGGAGGGAAGTCGAGCACCCCTTCGCACGAAGACAGCGCCCAAGCTTGATTTTCGACAGCCTTGGTGCAGAAGTCCAGGTGGGCAGACAGGCCGCGAAAGTCCGATAACTGAAAGCAGGGCCCGACCGCATTGGTCCGGGAACGCTCAAAAGGAACGCGGGCTTGCGTGTAGAAATCTCGCCTGTCCGTGACGCAATCACTTAAGCAGAAGCCCTTGGGGACGTGAAGGCGGGCGAGAAGGGCGCCGGTAGGCAGGAAACGGCTGGGACCGCAAAGTCTAGCCTCCCATGAGTTCTGCCCTCGGCGGTCTCCGATTTGCCTCTGCTTCCCTGGGGATTTGAACGCGCGCCGAAAATGCGAGTGAGGGCCCTGTCGGGAAGCGGCCCGGGGGCGAGAGAAAGGAGCCCCGAAGCATCCCAGATTCGGCAAAGACGAAGTAACTCGCCCTTGTCTTCAGCAGCAAAGGAGGCACAGGGGGCACCGGTGCCAGGGAACCGGAGAACCTCTGGTTCGAGGAAGGCCATGCAAAGGTCTGGCTCAAGGTGCCGGGCCAAATCCCACTGCCCCTTCCCGTGAAGAACAACACGCTCAGCAACAATGGGGCCGTAAGGCTGAAGGGCTTCAGGCCCCGAAGTGTCATGAGAAACGCGGGCGCCGATCTCGGGCACGGCACCGGTGTCGTAGGAGCCTGGCGAAAGACCGGCCGAATGCAGGAAGGTAACAACCTCCGAAAGACGGGCGGCGACATGCAAACCCCGACGGCCCGCACAGCTAGGGATTTCCCCAGCCTGGCGAGCACACGCCCTAACTAAACCAGCGAGCCTCCGATAGACCTGACCATGCAAATCACTCGGGTGCCTCCTTAAAGCCTGCAGGGAGACGGGCTTGCAACCGGCGTGCAGAAAGTTGAGGCTCACGGCCACGATGTGGGTGCAACGACGGACAGAAACTTGCATGCGAGCATCTGCGGACCGACAGGGGCGGTGGGAGAAAACATCCTCATAAAAGAGGGGAAGAGGAAAAAGGGCGGTGGAGGGACTAGCCAAAGCGTCCCTCTGCAGAGAAAGAGTCGCCCCGATAAAGTGGGCGAACTGAGTCTTGGCACCTCGAAGCAGCCTAGGCAGGGAGCCGACCCAAGAGCAAAAATCGAATTTGCCTTCTTCAGCAAAAACCAAGCCTTTCAAAGGGAACACATCAGCCGGGGAACAGGTAGGGGCCGGGAAGTCCAAAGAGGAACCTGGCACCGAAGAAGGCGAGGCGCGGGACCGAACTCGATCCGAACAGCGCTGCTTGCAAAAGCGGGAAGCGTGAGAAGCAGGAGGCAGCTAGGCACGAAAGCGAAGGTGCACACGCGAGGCCGGGGAAGACAGCGGACCCCCCTTTACACAAGAGGCGTCGGCTTGGCACGCAGTAGGCCCCAGCGCTTCAGCAGACCCGGAGGTCCGATGAAAAGCCAGGGCCGTCACTTTCACTTCTTTGCGGTTGCTGCTGCTGCTGCTTTCTTTGCTGCCCAGGCGGCGGCTCGCTGCTGCTTCCTGGTCGGGGCCTCCTCCGCAGGAGTGGTCGGGGGAGTCGGAAGAGCCGGCTTGTGGGGCGGCTTCTTGGGATGAGCCTCGGCCCTCCTCTGGGAGATGCTCTCCAGTTCTTTCACATAAGCCAAAGAGGTTGTCACCCACCTCTGCTCTGCTAAGGGAGAGAAGCTCTGCAGCGACGAGCCCGGTAGGGCCACTGGTTTTTGGAACAGGCCCGAGGCGGGATCGGCCCGGAGGGTTGGAAGCTATCCTAGCGAGTAGTCCCCGGAATCCTGGGCCACCTGAGAAGCATGAGGCTGAGCACGTCCCGGGCGCCCCATCCGGAATTCGCTTGCAGGAGTCGAGGCTTGGGCCGTCTGCCAGGCAAGAAGTCCAAGGAGAGGTTGGCCCCCCGAAAGCCCCGTGGCGCTCTAGGTATCTCATGTACCCGACCTGGTCCGCAGGGAGCATCCCCGTGGGATCCATCTTTCTCTCGAGATTCTGGCGAACCTTCAAGGCGAAGGAGCCGGTTCGCTGACTCAGCTCCTGCTGCAGCTTTGCACGGCCTACCGACCCCCTGATCGTAGCTCCTTGGCCCGCCGGTGTTTCGAGAAGAGGGTCTGCCGAGCAGCCGGAGAGCTGAGACACCAAAGCAACCAGAGCTTGACTCTGGCGAGCACTGCGGACGTGAGCTGGGTCCCCTCTGTGCTTCCTGAGGGCACTTCGCCTACGCCAATGCAACGCTGCGCCTCCTCCTCTAGATCGGCCTGAACAGGGGCGGCCGGCGGCTGAAGTTTGACGGGCGGCGGAGGGCCCAGCACGGCAGCAAGGTTCTTCGGAACCACCTGAAAGGGGGGCAGAGTTGCCGACAAAGGCTGCTGCAGCAAAGGGTTCCGGGGAGGCAGGCCAGGCGGGGCTTCGGCAGGCCGCGGCCGGTTGCTGAAGCGAGTCCAAGCGATTCACCACAGCCGACAGTAAGTCCATCATTTTGGCCTGCTGCGTGGCCAGCTGCTGCACCGTTGGGCGTTTCGGGGCCCGGGCTTTGTCCTTTTGGCTGGGGCAGGCTCGGCCGTGGACATAGCCGTCTGGTACCCCGACCGATCGTGAGCGAGGACGTTCACCGTAGCAATCCAATCCCTTGCTTGGCGAATAATATCCGTGGCTCTTGGGAACACTGCGGGGTTGTCGTCCTTGAAGGTGTAGAGGGAGGGTGCAGCGAAGTCGGCCGGGGCCACCACAATGGCCGGCACTAGCTCGGCTTCGGCAGGAGTGCTCCACTCCCCGGTCGGGGACACCACCACTGCAGGAGCTGAGGCCACAAAGGAAGGCCCGATCCCATCCACCTCGGTTGCTGCCTGGCCTCTGTCCAGCTCCTCCTGTGGGAGGAAGCCCTCCGGTACACAAAGCAAGAAGCCAAAAGGACGCTTCATAACACAGTAAGCGAGGCATTGGTAGGAGGCCTGATCTGGCGACAGCACCGGCCACGAAAACTCCACTATCTCCACTGACCCCGACTCAGCTGCCACGAGGCTGTCGAAGTCCATCTCACCTGGTCAGGCTGGCCGGGTAGGGCACCTGAGCACCGGAGAAATACACACGGCACTCGGCAACTGAAGGGAAGCCGTGGGTCACAGAGTCCTGGAGGTTGTGGCCAACCAGGCGCCGGAAGGCAGCAAGGGAAGACACAACAACGGGCGAAGCCAAGCCCTGGGCACGCAGGATGCAATAGTACCTGGAAGACAACCCGATAGCCGGGGAAGGGTCTGGCTTGTCGACCTTCCCAGCTAGCACAGCAGAAGCCCAGCAACCAGCCAGCCAAGCCGGGAGGCTCGTTCAGCACCTGAAAGCTCGGAACCTGACAGCGAAGAACAGAGGGCGAGGCAGGAGTCGGGCAGGGCCGGAAAGTCCAAAGCGATCGCCTGACGCGCTGCAAAGGCAGAGGATGGAAACCTCTGAGGCAAGGGGTACTCGGGCACAGCAGCAGCTGAGGACGAAGATGAAGCCTGCAATGACCTGGCACCTGGATGCACCTGCCTTACCTCGCCTGTGGCCGAAGCCTGCAAGGGGTTAGGGCTCGCAGCTGAACCAGTGGACGGCCCAGCCACGGAATGCACACGGGTTGGGGCTAAGGTAGCTGGCTGCTCCAGGGGGGCACCGACGAGAGTAAAGAAAGCAAGGGAGTCGGAGGGCGAAGGCGGGTCGGCTCGGGAGGAGTTGGCCCTAGAACCCAGCCTAAGACCCCTAAGCCTAAGCGAAAGACCTTCGATCTGCAAAGAAAGGTCCCAGTGGTCTTCCTCCTCACTCATACGCGTACCCCTGCAGTCTGGTGCGCCTCCTGATAAGAGCAGATGGCACAGCAGCTGCCGGCTCCGCGGCCTGTTGCGAATAGCTCCCTGCCAGGAATGTAAATACAATCCAAGCTCCAAAGGCTGTTCCACAAATAAAGCCCAGCAAAAGAAAAGCAATGTATGATCCCAAAGCAGGAGATGTGCAGTAGAAGGGACAGCCTAGTCCCCAAAAGTTCGTAGTAACACCAGAGTGCCAGATACGCAAGGCTTCGGCAACGCCAGCCCACATGCACAACCCTGCTACGCTTTAGAGCTCGAGCCCGCAGGCAAAAGTACGTCACTCGCTTCTAAAGTTCAAGGAGGGTTTAGGGTTTAGGGTCATACCCCTCAGTTAAGGAATATATACCTTAAGATCATAAAATTGAAGGCCCCTATAATTTAAGGTATATTCCTTCTAATTAAGGTGTGTTGGGTTCTCTGGGAAGTCTTCTCTGAGCATCGGGCTGTAGGGATGTCCCAATGAGCCCGGGTTCATCGCCATTGGCCTTCAGTCTGCGTCGCATGTTGCGGCGTCGTTATCGAAATCCGACCCTCTCAGCCGCCCCTCTCTGAGGCACCGCATCTCCAAGCCCGGAGGCGCGAATCCTGGCTCGAGGCAGCATTGAACATGGCCGCTGCAAGCTACAGCAGAACACGCTGTCAGGGTTTAGGGCTTAGGAACATCCTAAAACCCTGCTCAAACTGCAAAGATGAACAGGCACACGGCATGCTGTGGTTCGAAGAAAGATCGACAACGGCATGGAGCATGTCGTAAAGAAGAGACCCAGAGAACCCAGCCTACCCCTTAATTAAGGAATATATGCCCTTAAATTCTAGGGGCCTTCATATTATGATCTTAAGGTATATATTCCTTAACTAAGGGGTATGACCCTAAACCCTAAACCCTCCTTAGTTGAGGGGTACCTTGGGTTCTCTGAAAAAGGAGGCGAGGATGCAAGGGGCCGGCCTTCCAGGCCAGCAGGGGAGCCTTGCAGCAGAGCTCAGCAGAGGTGGGAACTTATCTTCGCAGCTCCAGGAAGCACTTCAGGTTTAGGGCCTGATTTAGGGTTTAAGGTTTAGGGTTTAGGGTTTAGGGTAACTTCAACTCCGCATCTTGCTTCTTGGGGGTTTTGTACTGGCAGATTTGGGATCCAAACTGCGAAAGTCTCTGCCAAATCTCAAGCCTCTTTTGGGTTCTCAGTTCAGAACTGAGCTTCAGGGCCTTCAGGTTTAGGGTTAAAGCCGGATAAGAGTTCGACTACATATAAAGAGCCACGGTTCAGGGTTTAGGGTTTCGGGTTATTTACGGATGTGGGAAAAAAGGATGTCGTCGAATTTCCGTGTGCAAACCCTCGACCCGACACCCTCAACCCTAAACCGGGTTTAGGGTTT